GTGTCGGACGACCCGGAAGGCGATTTTTGAGGCTGCGCTACTTTCAAAATGTGAAAATTGGCAAGACTTCCGCTAGAAGCTGACTAATTGGGCCCATGGACCCCCCTTAGGCCCACTGCCGACCCTCACCGGCTGCTAGCTACTAGCTAGTAGCCATTTATGTTATCGTTCTTTATAACATTTCGGACTGCTTTTTCTGCTGCAATCAGACACTTAGCTACTTTTTTGTGCCTATTTGAGTTCCGTTTCCCGCAATTCGCGATCGCGAACTGTGCCTTTAAACGTTCGCGCGCAACCACTGGATGCGCGGACCTGTTCAAAATTCGGGAATCCGATTCGATATCATCTCAGTCGGGACGGGGGGGGGTCGTAATAAGATGGCCTTTTTGGGACGGATGTCTTTGACAGAAGTTTTACAGAGCGTTATGGCTTGCCCTGCTGGGACCCCCTCTGTCGAATCACTCATATTTCTATTTCGCCCGTCGCCCTGTTCTCTGGCCTATGCAGGCTGTGTCTCACTCATTCACATCGGATCTTAACTCACTCAATGTAGCAAGCGGTCTATGAAGTCGTCTAGCTGAGAAATATTCTGCTATTATGCGTGGGGGTGATGCTGCCGCTCTCATGGACTAGAGCTGAGATATTCACGATCAAGAGATCAGACTCACTTTGGAAACAAATTTCTAGGCATGTCGGACTTCGAAAGTTTCATATAGTAAGGCAGATAGCGATTAGTAAATAGTATCACCAGAATAACTCATTGTCATTTCTCTCAAAATCATGCCATCTCTTCGAAAACACTATGGCGCTCTAACTAAAATACTGAGTATGCAAAAAAAGGTTCCATAGGGTACAGAGAATTTCAGAACAGATTCGAAAAGAGCATGCTTATCAAGGAGAACTCATAGCCCTTGAATGAAATAAACGCAATCGTCAAAGCTCTGCATCTGATATGTAATGAGTATGATGCGTTTTATCAAAAGCCCTGTGTAGCCATGTTCATGGGATGGTTCGGGGAATATGGGAATCAAATTTGTAAATATTGTCTTAACAACCTTCCCTCTTGAGCCTCCCTGAAAATGTGTTTCTTTCCGAACAAGTGATGAAGTGCAAACAAACTAGACCTTGGGACTGGAGGACGCATGATCTGAAGTCTCGTTTTCTCGTGTTGGTGCTGAATGTGTTCGCTTGACGAGAGAGCGCAGACGGGATCTGTCACTGTAGGTTTTCCCCAAGCAAGGGAACTTCTGCAGAAATGTAATTCTATAATCAGTGGAACATGTGCAAAACACATAGAACTGCGAAGCGTGATTAGTGATCTCAAGAATATTCGCCACAGCTCGGAATATTTGGTAGTCAAGGCGTCGTTTGAGTGCCTGAATGATAAAGTAATGGCCACGCGAATTCGTTCAGTGTACTGACAGAACTTACTTCGTCAATTAGCAGCAGATTGATTGCGGCTGGAATGTTGCAAATCAACGACATGAAAACCGTTCCTCCCAACATGTACATTAAAGTGTCGTCCTGAGAAGCTAACATTATCAAAATGTCCTTGTAGAGAATTTATCTTTAACATGGACACCTTATGGGTTCCCTGTTCTTTCCTTTTCGTTAGCTGTTGGAACATTTTCTGACGTTTTCGAAAGGCGATCATAATCTGAATGTTGAGAATAGATAGCACTATAATCGGCAGGAACCTCAGAATGGTTTCTCGTGTCCATTTGTAAATCTGGAAGGATGACATAGTCCAGATGAAGTGAAAAGTGATAAAGTTCGTTGAGCACCTGCCATGAAGCGGTCCTGTACACTTGATGGTCGTCAATTTTGTATATGAAGGCGTTTACATGTTCATCCCATTTTTCGGTGCTCTTATATCGCGTGACTGCATATGGTACATACAGTAAGGCAGGTACAGTGAAGGCGATGATGATTGCGTTCAGAGCACGTTTTGGTGAGTTCCATGTGCGAAAGTGCATAGGGAACACTATGGAAATATATCTTTCCAATGATAGTGCAACCACAACGTATACACCAGCCCCGAGGGCCCAGTTAATAAGTGTGAGCATGAAATGGCATTGGTAAATTTGATACAATTTGTATTGGTTTATCGGAGAGCCGTTTTTTGTGAGAATCTCTGTCGTCACGAAGACCAACACAAATATCATGCATAGTAAGTCCGCAACTGCCAAAGCTCTCAAGTACATGTAAGATACAGCTCGCAGTCGACGACTAGCCAGTACAATTAAATTTGTGATATTGCCTGGAAATTTCATTCATTCGATACATCATTCAAGGTTGATAATGTTATCGCATACCTATAATTCCCACAGCGCACACTATAGGCAATACATAACAGTAGGCAATGTTGGCCACAGTAGCTGCGCCGCTAAGTGCTGTTGCATTCATTCCGGCTAAAACATTCTCAAATCAGTGTCTTAATTTAACGTAGATATAGTATCTAGCACAGTATAACATAATATCCTTTCAGAAGTCAAGGTAAGTTGGCATTTTCAAATCCTGAGGACGAGAATCTGAATTGAAAGAAATTTGTGCAGAGCTGACGAATCTGATAAATGTATACAGTACGCAATTCGACTAGTTAACTAGCATGCAACTAGAAAACGCGGGATGTGGTGTGTGGCGTCGAAATCGCGAGACTTGTGCAACCGGAAGGAAGCTAGTCCACTGCGCTCGTTAAAGAGTCCCGCTTGCATCAACTGCTCTCTATGAAGTCTTGCACGAAACTTGCTGTGAAACATATGTTCACTGTAATTTTTGTGAAGACAAATAAGGCTGTTCTCGTCAATCGTACAGAGCTTGTCAAAATGGAGGTGTGAAGAGCAGCCTCAAGTACCCCGCGATTCTGCTCACACAGTAGCAGCAAAAAAAACTTGGAACAAGCTTCGAAATGGAATCTTTAACCGTTCAAATATCTTTATTCTCCTTTGCACCAAGAATGTTGGAACCAGGAGGTGAGAATATCATGTAATTTTTAATAAAAAAGCATTGCAATTTAGCAGAACGGAAGAAGTGTGGTGGCGAGTTGCGCCACTTACCCGTGCGCGGTCTGGGGCCAAATCCCGGATTGACTCTTGTCTTGCCTCCGAAGACGGAAACGGTGACTTTTTACGTTGGCCCTCTTCGCACTAGCCCCCCCCCCTATCGCTATTCATTACATAGGGCAAATCACATTAGAAAGTCACTGTGAATTATATCAAAAATGCTTCGAATCTAGCAAGGGAAGCTCTTCAGGCTCTGCAAGCTTCTTCATTTGGTTTGTTGCATGATTGTACATGTTCCATTATGGACGACACAGATGAGGTTGCATGCACATTTATATACAAAACAGCGGTCCAGTCAGTCGGTATCCGCTGCTGGCATTCACCACGGCTGATTTCTTTTAATCGATCACTGCTCGACCACCATATGCTTCTCAAAAGTTTACGCTCGTATACCGATGATGTCAAACGTAAATTTGCCCGAATGTATGATCCGTCATTGCTAAGTGCGCTCCTAGGCTATGTACGCTCCTTACCACAAGAATATGGTGGGAGATGTTATTCCGAGATGAGATATGGGAATCAGTGTTTTAAGCTATCGTAGAGATGTGGTATGTATAAGTTACCAGGGCAGGATAACCGGTGTTAAGATGTAGACTCATAATCTCACGCCTGAGCCACGAGTTCGATCTCTGGCGAGACAAAACTGCATTGCAAATTGCAAAATGGGGAACGATATCCAGCGTCGGCCCAGGTGTGAAGGCCCGGTGATGAGGAACCCGTCACAACAACCATAGACAAGTCGAATAGAATAGTGTAAAAGCTAGACGCTCACCCGGAAGTGGCGCGAGAACCCTCGCCACGAGTTCGTGGTCAGTAGCGGGCTTACCGAGGGGTGAACGACCTTGGCCGAAGAAGCTAGTTCGAATTGGGGACATCTGAACGTGGGGTCGCTTACCGGAAAGTCCTGTAGGCTTGCGAACTCATGAGCGCAGTAATTATCCAAGTCCCTATGCATTCAGGAAACGCGTGGAAGGGTGCGAAGCCCGCGAGATTGAGAAGAAGGCGTCAAACTCTCTATCGAATGGAGCAGCACCAAACGGAATGGCGTTGCCAGTAGCGGTGCGAATACCCATTAAGCGCCATGCGATCTCCACTCGTGAACAGGACAGTGACAGGATCATTGGGAGTGAGGATGGCACTGAATGAGGGGTATCGACAGTAACTGACGTGTACGCTAACCACAATCCGAGTTGCCTCTGAACGCCGAAACGGATGATTCTACTGACCTCCTGACGAGGCCATTAAGATCGTCGCCGAAGGAAGACTATCTAGCACGATAGTTGGAGATCTGAATGACCATGTTGGGAGGGAGCAAAGGGTCTAGAACAGGTGCATGGAGGTCAAGGATAGGGAAAGAGAACGCTGAGGGAGAGCGAATCGCTTGACGTACAACAGCCCACGACTAGCATTGCAGCACATTCTTCGCGAACAGGAGGACCCAAAAGGTAACTACAAGGCTGGAGGGAAGAAACAGCGAAATTGCACATGTCTGGCAGAAGATCATCTCTCAACCCATCAAGGATATCAAGGTACTGGCCTGGGAAGAGATTGGGCGGCCTCAGCAAGCCATCTCCTGCAGAACAGTGCCATAGGCCTCCCCAAGAAGCAGTGTCAAGAAGCAGAGCGAAGAATTGTGGTGTATAAATGGCAGCAGGCGTAGAAAGGGATAGGCCTCCGCCGAGGAATACTAGAGGTGGCTCCAGACCCACTGGCCGCCAGTGGAACGTGGACCATACGCAGCAGAGGTCATCTAAGGTGCGAGAGGGAGGTCCTGGGGAGACGCGAGTGGTATGCATAAGAGACAAGGCAGCCTGGTTCATAGGAACGAGGAAGTTCAAGGAATGTCAGTGCAGAAGAAGGAATGCATACAAATGCTGCAAAAGATCTCGGACGCCAGAAGACTAGACTGCTACACAGGAGCTCAAGCACCTCGCTTAAATGGCGGCGTTGCTAAGGCAAGAATACGAATGGACGCCCTGTAGACAGCTTGGAAAGGCCGAGAAAGGGGACAAGTTCGTCTTCCGCGTGGCTAAAAGATGCATCGCGACTTCAGGACATCCAGGGTGTAAAGAATGTGAAGAGTAGCAACGGGTCCATTCGTCAGGAAACAGCCGAAGTCAGAAAAGGTGGAAAATAACTTGAGGGATTTCTGAACGATGAATTCCTCGCAAAGATAGCGCCACAGATAGATGCGACGGCAGGTTCCATTCATCTTCCTGGACGAAGGATAGAGTTGGCCGGAGCTATGGAGAATGAAAGCTGGGAAAGAGTGGTCCTAGACCGTGGTCCGGATAGAGTGATGGAAGGCCCTTGAGAGAAATGGTGAGTTGGCTCACGCACTTTAACAACGTAACAGCGGAAGGAAGGATCCGAATGGTGGAAGGACAGCACAATCGTTCCCCATCTCAAACGTCAAAGGGGACGCGACGGGTGGCTCCAACTATTCGGCGTGGATCAAGCTGATCCCCATACATCGACAAGCTGTACAGGTGCGCTCATAGTACAGCTAGCTGAAGGAACTGGTTCTACTCTGCAGGAGCAGTTCGGCTTCATGCCCGAGAGCCACGTCACCACCGATGCATCTATGCCAGACGCTGATGGATAAGTACGAAGAGTAAGCGGCGACGCCTGTTCCCGGTAGCTTCCTGGACCTTGAGAAGGCATTCGATACCGCACTGCCAAGCTGTACTCTGGAGAGCGCTCAGAGAGCAAGTAACGTTCCGGACACACTCAATCCATAGGTGAAGGACATGTAAGATGGCTAAGCAGGCTGCTACGCACCCTCAGCGGCTTGACAAGGAGGTAAAACATTACGGTGGGGTAACACCAAGGTCAGCCTCAGCCCGTTCCTCTTCCACTGATCTAGATGTCATGGCGAAGAACTCACTGGAGGGACCACTGAAACCATCCTCTATGCTGACGAAATCGCCCTGATAGGCGACGACAGCAGGGAGGAACTACAGGATAAGGTGCAGCGGTGGCAGGATGTGCTCGCTGCGAATGGACTCCGGCTGAAGTAAAGAAGACCAAGTTCCTAAGTCCGAGAGTGGCGAAGTCATTCGTAGATGCGTCATGGCGCAGAGAATTGAGGGGTCGAGGATTTCAATACCCTGGATAGCAACCTAGTTAGCGCTGGATCGGCAGCGTGGACAGGCGTGACGGCCGATCAACGCAAGGCTGATGAAATGGAGGAAGTCCACTGGCTACTGTGCGACGGCGGTGCTCAGAAGAGCCCCTCAAAAAGGAGCAAGGTGTACCAGGGCTGTGGATAAGGCTACATGCTCTATAGCAGCGAATGCTGGGCCATCTGCAAAACCATGAAAGGCAGCTCCACTTCAGCTGAAATGAGGAATGCAGAGATGGGCGCTCGGCTGGACACGGACTCGACAGAGTCAAGAACGAGGACGTCAGAGGCAGTCACACAGACGGCTCCATATCCAGGCTGAAGGACGAGAGGCAGCTTGCGATGGTACGGTCCATGTACTGAGGAGGCTCGAAGACCATCCAATATGGAAGGCATTGGACTCGAGTAGAGGGAAGCGACGCAACGAGGAGCCCAAAGAAAGATGGAGGACGTCATCAAGAAGGACCTCACTGAAGTGAAAGCCACAGCAGAAATGCGTGGAATCGGAACAAGTGGCGGCGTCTTAAAGCAAACAGCAGGACCTGCGACGGCGCGGGACTAAGCGTAGGGAACAGAAGAACGAAGATAAGAATGTTACCAGCAGTGAGTCCGACTACTCTTCCCCAGTACGACGTTCTCAGATGTATGCGTGCAATAGACAGGGGTGCGTCGCATAAATTGCTAGAAATTTCTCTACTCTGATTATATTTGAGCAGTTCTGGTGCGATATCATATGGATTTATTGGTGCAGATCTTCGATTAACGCAGTATCACGATTCGAGTATTTGTAATTTACAGGACCCATCACGTTCCACGGCTGGTTTGCAAAGCTATTGGGATTTGGTAGTCACCAAGAGGTATGTTGCAGGGGAATTCGCCGCGCCAGTGCGTCGCGTGCGACGTCCGCTGACGTCTTTCGTCGCGTAGATTGAGAGATTATTGGGGTGATATTGGTCGACGATAGACATTGTGTGAACCCAAAAATAGACATAAATGTCTACCATGTTCTTGCGTACTTAACATCCGATGCTCCAATCGTAACGGTGGTGTGAATTAAGAAAACGTCACACCAGTTCCCGCGCGCGAACAAGCAGCGATTCACGATTCTCTTGCCCGCCTTCCGCCCCTTATTCTACTCGGCGACTTTAATCTACCTGACATCTATGCTAGCTTAGGAGTGAGGGCCCACAAGCAGGCCTGGCGTTTTGTCGAAATGTGTA